CCACCCCCCCCCCCCCCCCCCCCGCCCGCCCCCCCCGCCGGCCCGCCCCCGCTCGCCGGGCGCGCGCCCCCGCCGTGCCGGGCGACAATGGAAAAATAAACCTACACTCCTGGTGGCGCCTCACGGGTTGCGAAGCCGATAGGAAACAACCGAAGGGTTTCCTTGATGACGGCCGTGGTGTACTCGAGTTCGTTAGTTTTGGTGGGCTTTTCTTTGAGCATTCTCACGGTCTCGTCAAAGTCTGAGTGGAAGAAGCTGTCGTGCTCTTGGCGGAGGCGGCTCATCACTTCGGGGTGGAGGCTGAGGAGGAGGAAGATGAACTAGGATGGGCCGGTAATTATTATGTGTATATGTTAGAAATGCACAATGTGATGCAGGGACTTGAGTTTTGGTTTGGGTTGAAGCGGGGGGGGGGGGGATGAGACGCACGCAAAGAGTATCTGAAGTTGTGCCTTGGCCACCTGCGAGTAATCCCTTGAGACTGAAGGACGGGGGAGAAAAAAGGTGGGCGTTAGCATCACCATCAGGGGTAGACTGAGCTCGGTGACAGCTCGACAAGGTACAATGCATACTTTGGCACAATGAGCTTCACAAACTGAGGATCGAGACCATCCCTGGCCTTGGGACCCAGTTCCTCAATCTGTTGCACAATCATGCGGTCCATGACGCACAGCTTGGCCCGCTTCTCCTCCTGCAGGTACTTGTCCTCGCCAAAAAGGGCCGCATGTCTTTCCTTGATCTTTTGGTGGATCAGCTTCTCGGACCGCTCTCTGGAGGCACGCATTTTCCACCACAACAGCAGCTTCTTGAAGGGGTTCTTGGTCTCGACGTAGGCGGGGCCCAGATTGAAAATTGTCTTGAAGTCTTCGAGGAACTGAGATCCGCGTTGCTGAGCCAAGAGCGAGAAGCCATAGACGACGGACGAGACGATATCGAAAATCACCTTGGATGTGAGCTCCTGCATCGAGAACTGCTCCCCCGTGTCCGCCAGGGCTCTGAGTTTGTTGTGGTAGACGGCGACGTGCTCAACGATGCAGTCGACCTGCCCCTTGACGGCTGTCGGACTGAAGCTGGGTGCCAGCATGTGGTGGAGGTGCTTCCAGGTGGCTCCGTTGACGCCGGCAATGACCTTGGGCCCGAACAGGACGTCCAGAAAGTACTCGACCCACCGGTGGATGTGGTAGACTTTGACGACCGATACCTGCATGGCCAGCTCGGGGGTTGCCAGGACCATGAAGGACGGACCGAGCGGCCAGAGATCGAGGTACCAGACGTCGGGCAGGTCGTATCGCTTGGCGATCTCGGTGAAATAATTCTGGTAATGAGTCTGCGGCGGGAAGAGGGCCATGATTTCGCCCCAGAGATTGAGGTGGCCCCATAAGAACGAATGCGGGGGTTTGGGCTACACAACGATTTTTTTTATTTTTTTTTTGGCGTGTGAGCAGCAAAGTCGACAAAAGAGTTTTTTTTTAAAAAAATTTAAAAATAAAAATACAAAAGGCGTTTTGAATTGGGATGCAAAGTTAAAGAACGTACCAAATCCTTGTAGAACCTCCGAACAGAAATCAGCTTCCATGTCACGCTCGCGATGCCAAGCGCCACCAGGGCGGCGATGGTGCTAGAATTAGATAGGTTGATCATGATGGATGAATCTGTGCCGATTGTTTAGGTAGATGGATCAATAGAAAGCTAATGTACCTAGGTAGGAATGATGAGGGGCTGAAGAAAGTGGAAGGGAACCGGGGGGCGGGGGGGCGGGTGGTGGTCATTGCTTCTTAATACGTGCCGCAAGAACTCCAGCGTGATGCCCAAGGACTGTCACCAATCATACAACGCCCTCATGTCTCCCACGTGCCAAGATCATTTTCCTTCTTGAATCTGATGGACCTCGCAGCCCTTGCGTGATTCAACTTGTATAGTACTGATTGGGAGAATAAAAATATAAAAAATATATATATATATAAAATTTAATTACGCACACTCTAAAATAACTCCGCTATTTTCAAGTTTTCTTAACGTCCACACATGAGACCAAGACCGACAATGTGACCAGCTCAAAGTCTCGGCTCATCCAACCCTCCATTCACGAGCTTGCCCTTATTTCCATCCACACCCCCATTCCTCTGCTCGGCTTTCCACATCTGCCGCTCCTCCTCCACCACCCCGGGTCCTCTATAAACGCTCCCATACAATCCGCTCTCCCAGGCCCCGAGCCCCTTCTTCTTGTTATCGCTCTTGGCCTTCTTCCTATACCACTTTCCATATACCAACAGGTAATACAACCTAAAGCACAGAACCGCCCACCCGGACTCCCTCTCCAGGTCCTCGGGGTAATCGGCACCCAAATCGACCGCCGCGGCGATGCCGCTCATGACGGCAACTTCGTGGGCATTGATCATGGTCCAGCTCCCCGCGAACCTGACCCTCCTCTTGCCCTGCAGCAACCAGATCCAGGGGACCACGAAAAGGTAATGAGTCCAGGAGTGGCACAGCTGATGCCACCAGTCCTTCCGGATGATCTTGGCGGGGTCGATCTCGTTGTCCGTCCAAAGGTTTCCGTCCCTCTCCTTGTTCAAAAATATGGTCTGAAACACGTGGCTCTCAAACGGTGCGCCGGGCGGGAACTGGGCCTGGTAGTTTGTGCAGTCGAAACACATTTCCAGCCTCGTCAGATCTTCAGGGTAGGGCTTGATAAAGTACATTGGTTTGAAACCCCCCTCGGCTTTGGCGCGGTTGACGCGGGAGGCTTGAGATCTCCCAGAGAGGGAGCTGACGGCCTGTGAGGGGTTAAAGAAGGGCTCGTAGTGTTTGCGGATGTAGGAGGCGTCGTTGTGGGTGATGGTCAAGTCGTTGCTGAATTTGGCCGACGAGAGGACGCGTCGCTCTCTGAAAGAAGAGGTCTTGCCGAGGAGACGTAATGAGGTGTCGGTCCTGAAATGGGTGGTTTAGTTCAAGTTATGCGCAGTTTGGAGAAAGAGGGGGGGGGGGGGGAGATTGTGGGGAGGGAGGAGCGTAGGCGAAGATGATATAGGACATACAGGCAGCAGAGCACAATCTCATCGTAGTTCTCTGTTTCCTCCTTGGCCAATGCGTCAGCCTTCAGAGACGGGTCTTCAGGAGCCCAGGCGCTTGAAGGATTGTGAGCATCAGCTGCCGGAGTTCGCTTGACGGTCTTGATAACGACGCCTTGCTTCCCGCGGCTGACGATCTGAGTGAGCTCGGTTGAAAGACGAACTTTGACGCCCCTCCGAACCAGGTCTTGATGCCAATCCTCGTAGAAGTTGCTAAAGTTAGGAAAGACGATCATCGGGGGAAGGTTGCTCGCGATGCTCTCCTTGTCAGGGGGGTACCACATGCCGTACGTGGGGCTGGTGCAGAGGCGCTCCAGGATGATGGTTGGGACATCCGGGGTGTAGTTGCCCGTGCCGAGAAACAGAGCGACCATGGGGAGAGCGACGGTGTTGGCAAACTCGTAACTGAAAAAGAACAACTTCATGAGATATTTGATTGGCAAGAGCGCCAAGAACAACTCAAACCAGCGGACGATGCTCAGCATTTTGACGAAACGCCTGATTTCGCTCTGGTGTCGCTCCAACAGCTTGGTCGGGTACACGTTGGTCCAGAACTGCTCCCCCTTTCCAAACGAAACTTGGAGCTCGACGGGGTTGGCGGTGTAGCCCTGCCGAGCAAACATGGTCATGGTGTGGTGAAAGATGTAGGAACCGCCCTGGACGCCCTGGTTGAGCCATGATGCGCCGTGCTTCTCTTTGTCGATGGGGATGGAGAATGCTTGGCCGCCGCAATAATTGGTGGCCTCGATCAGGGTCACATCAAACTTGTCGGGATGCTGAGCCAGATGGTGGGCGCAGGACATGCCTGAGAGCATGGTCAGAATACCGTCTTTCCAAAGTATAAAACACGATTCAAGTTTACTTACCAGCGGCACCAGCCCCAACAATAAGCACCCGCTTCTTGGGTGGGTTGGCCATGGCGACGGGCAATGATAGTTGTCTCGCTGCAGGCATCAGCAAGATTGAACGCGAAAACCATTTGATGAAGTTCCCACTGCCATGGTGATTCAGCTAGGGCCGTCGCGGATATATAGAGGGATGTTATGTGGGGGTGTCGCTGAGTTGGGGACTGATCGAGTGCGTCATGGCCGTCTTTGGTGTGCTCTCTTTGCGATCCAAGGGGGCCACCATACCCCACCCAGATCGGGGAAGAGGATAATCAAAGATTTGAGATCTGAGACGGCACATTCCGATTGGACGATCCACACCATTGGGAGACGCAATGCCACTGCAGAACAGAACGACGTTGCATCTATTCTTTCCTTTTAATTATTATAGATTTATCTGATGCCGTTGCTGTGTACATGCAGCAACATGTTGTTGTCACCAAAGGTATGGAGAACTTGTTGCGGAAACCTCATTTGTCTCTCTTCCCTGATCATAAAGTCGTTCAATATCCCCGAGGCAGCCAAGAAAAGATTCCCAAAAAAAAAAAAAAATTGAATTAGCCAACCACTGTAACGCTCATTGCATACAGTCTATGAAAAACACAATGTAAAATCCAGTAGATGTGAAAAAACATTTCGGAAATATGGGATACTATTTTCGACGAGGCATGCAACTTCAAAACCCCTTGTGGTGTAGTTGGCTATCACGTTCGGCTGTAAAGGAATTTATTGATTACCGAAAGGTCACCGGCTCGATTCCGGTCGAGGGGACGATTTTTTTTTCCCTTTCTCAGCACACGTTGACCCTCATTCACCTCTCAAATTCCACGGATAAATCTCGATTCAATGATTTATCTTTTTCGTCATGTACAACCTGATTTGTGGAGGTTGCTTTGGTGTGGGTGGCTAAGTATTCGTCTTCTGCGGGGCCACCGACGAATCATTCACTCTTGTCCAGCGATCATCATACCCTTCCTTTCGTTGTTAGCCACTCAGAGTCGTCCATTGCTCACAACTCTGAGCCACATCAGTAATTCGAGATTGGAGAACTGACGTCACATGTCCTAGTATACAGCAAAAATCAGGTTGATATCGGGGGGCGGAAAGTCGTCATTCTGAGCCCAACGTTTTTGGTAGGATTTAATTATAACTATGTTGTCTCAGGCCCCAACGAATATCAACGGCTTTATTGATTCAAACCGTCAATCATTTTCCCGACTGAGACCAAGACTAATTACTACTCCCAACCCGAGAAAATGCCAACAGCTACTATAACCAAGCAGCAACAAGCTGTGCCATGTAAGCTGCTGACTGAGTCCTCACTGGTGTTAACTTAACACTTGGACTAAGAATTATTTGCTCACAACCATCACAGCTTCTACCCACAAGAAGACGACGACCACTGGCTCCAAGACTTCCCCATCCAAAACCACAAAGCCAGTGAAGACCGCTACCGCCACCGCCACCGCCACCACCACCCCCAAGAAGGTGGTTACCTCTTCATCAACGAAACCGACTACTAAACCCACCACCAAAACCACTTCTTCATCAGCGAAGCCGACTACTAAACCCACCACCAAAACCACCTCTTCATCCACGAAGCCGACTACTAAATCCACCACCAAAACCACCACCACAAAAACCACCGCCTCCTCAACCACCAAAAAGCCGATAAAGTCGACAGCGACTAAAAAGTCCTCCCATTCAACACCCAAAGATGCTTCGGCCCACGCAACCTCAAGATCATCCGCCAAGAAATTCTCGGAAGCGGCCAAGCTCACCCCCGCCGTCCCAGTGACAGAGGCAACCAAACCGTCAGGACCCAAGCCCAACTTCCGTCCCACCACCATCTCCTCCCACACCAAGAGGGCTCTCGGCGTCAAGTCTCTAGCTCTACGGCCTGCTTCCGAAGTGCCGCCGGTCAAGCTCTCGTCTTCCACAACCAAGCCGCGCGCACACAAGCCAACCACCACCGCTACCGCAACTACTACTGTCCGCAAATCCACCTCTTCGACTCCCAAGCCTCGGATCTCGACAACAAAACAGCAACGCCCGGCTCCGATCCTCGAGTACCCGGCCGCCGCTGATGCAAGCCCAAGCCCGGCCCCGGCCCCGAGAAAGAAGAAGTACGCCCCGGAAGCCTTCATACCCACCTCCGAGTTCACCAAGCAGGTGTCCGACACGGTAGGCGGCGCCGTCCAGGGCGTAAGCAACACGGTCGGCGGCGCCACCAGGACGGCAGGTCAGACGGTCGGCGCCGCGACCCGGGGCGTGGGAGACACGGTCGGCGGCCTGTCCCGCGGCGTGGGCGGCACGCTCAACACGGCGACCCGGGACGTCGGCGACACCGTCGGCAACCTCACTCGGGGGAACCTGGGAGGCACCGTCTCCGGCCTCGGCGGCACGGCCGACAACCTCACCCGCGGCGTCGGCAACACCGCTGGGGGTCTCGTGCGCGGAGCGGGCAACACGGTCACGGGCGTCACGGATACGCTCGGCGACAACATCGGCGGTCCCGTCGGAGGCTTGACCAAGGGGCTCGGCAACACAGTCGGCGGCGTGACCAAGGGTGTCGGAGACACGGTCGGCGGCGTTACGCGAGGGCTGGGGAACACGCTCGGAAACACGACCGGTGCTTTGGGCAAGGGAGATGTGGGAGGTGCCGTCGGTGGTCTGCTGGGCGGCGTGGGCGAGACCGTAGGCGAAGTAGGCAAGGGAGTCGGCGGGATTTTGTCCCCTGTTCTCGGTGGCTTGTTGGGCGGTGACGGGCTTCTGGGCGGTGTACTCGGAGGCGGCGGCGGCGGGGGAAGAGGTTAAGTAAAACTATATAAATGTCACACGTTTTCTTTTCTTTTCTTTTCTTATTTTTTTTTGGGGGGGGGGGGTGTTCAATTAGGTACATACAATAAGTAACACAACGTAGCAATGATATTCAAAAACTCAAAATTCAAAATTATGTATTTCTTCATACTTGCCATATCCCATGTTGTCAAAACTATCCCTACGGCCAATCCAGTCCATGTTACATTTTCACGCAGCTATTTAATTGCATAGATATAGACGGTTAATGAAATTCAAACTTTTTGGGCTTGCTACTTGACTCGCTATTATACCCTTTATTTTTTTAAAAAAAAAATTTGAAAAAGTTTAAATTTAGAAAACATCGGCGCTGTCCCCACACCAAATTACAACGGATCCTTGAAACAAGTGTAGCTATACCTGTTTCCTAATTGTCACATGTGGACATTCGAGTTTGCAGATTCGCGAGTCATTCAAGAGATTTTGAAAAGCTGATTTGGTCGAGTTTAATGTAATGAATAATCAAGTGATAAAGCAATATGGTAAATGGGGTATAACGTTTTGAAAACTGAAAAAACAAAAGAGCAAGGAAAAAAGAAAGAAAGACGTCATACGTCGTTTTTCCGATTATGCCTTGTGCCTGTCAATTTGACAGTCGAGTCGGCCGAGCTACCCAGCCGTTCTTCCACCGTAACGGTCATATATGACAAGCCGCGGTCGGCATCGCCTGCCTCCTCTTTACCGGTCAACGATATTGATTGTCGCCTTATCTTTCCATCCCCGCGGCGACCACTCTCCACGTGAACGAAGGAAATTTGAGCCGCTGGTGCGATCAGCACAATGCCGAACTTTCCCAACACATATTCTATAGGCCTCTTCAAGGATGGACAACAGGCCGCCGTGATGCAGGCTAGCCCCTCAACAACCGTCCACTTTGCTATCGTAAGGCCCAGCTCCAACAGATCGTGCTCTGGACTTGGAGCCTTTCCAATCAAAACGGCCTTCGTAATTGACGCGCCACTGGCGAAGAGGCCCACGCAACTCAGGGTGCAAATGAGTATCCTTTCCCTCACCGGGCGGTGTAAATTCCACATGATGACGGTGGGGGCGATGGAAAGAACAATGTCGGTTGCGATGTTGATAGCGGATCCGACACTTGAGACGGCCAACGTGACCTGTTGGCTCGGGCACTTCCCATCCAATGCCAAGATATCCCAGGCGGCATGAAAAGGTCGGCATCGAAACAGCTGGTAGGACATGGCGACGATGCAATAGGCGATCTGTATACCCATGATGCTGTAGAGGACGGCCCGGGATACTCTCGTCATAGGGAGTCGGAGAAGCGTCATGACAACCGACGTCTTGACCAGTGTCATGGTTAGAGACCACAATGTGATGCCGATATGTGACCGAATGATTCCCATGCGTGTGGCGCCCAGCGTGATCTCTCCGCTTTCTAGGTACATGGTCGGAAGAAACATGATCCAGTCGACGATTGCGCATGCCTGAACCCCAAGATCGGTCAGTCTCTCGTGAACGCGACATAACTACCAAGCAAGTGATTCGGAAAGAACTTACCAGGCCGGCGACGATTAGATAGTCATCCGCTCCAAACCTCCACGCAGGCCGAGCACGGACATACATGCGGGCAGCAAACGGTATCAGAGAGACAACGACAAAACATGTCGTGACAGCGATGTATTTGGAGGCAACACTGGCAACTTGCTCCGTAACAAACATACCGGGCGCTGTCATGTCTGGCATCGGCGGTGGCAGCTCGCTCTGTGCCGGCGGCGGTGGTGTTGATTGGGGTGACATTGTGTTGATGGCATCATGATGTCTGGTCACCCATCGACTTTTCTATCTAATCGGTTCCAAGTACGAAAGATAAAGAAAGGGGTGACACAGTTGGATTTTGGGGATCGCGGACGGGAGACGGGGGACGGGGGACGGGGAACGGGGGACAGGGGGAGATTGATCCGGAGTTTTGGGCTCTTGGACGCTGTCTAGGCTCCCTGTCGGCACCATCGAGCATCGCCACTGGGTTGCGTGATATGCGAGCCCGCTAAGAGATGGGCCTTGCATGTCGGGGTTGCTTTCATGCAGCCAAAGAAGAGTATCGAACCCGGTGGCTTGGGATGCACACCGGAATGGGGCGCAAAATTGTCTCCACAACGAATCAATTGGTCCCGGGGAACGCATTGGCCCTCAGCTAAATCTCCACAGACACCGGGGATCAACGTGCCACATTCCATTCTGCAATGTCCACTGTCTTCTTCAGTTTCCCTCTTGGACAAAGAGTAGTGTATGCTGCAGACACGGCCGATATTGGAAATCTTGCCAGTCTGCGGTGGCGCACAACTGACTGAACCCAACCAGGCTTCTATTCTCTAACAGAGTCTGCACCCAAATCTGGGCAGAAAAGATGTATCCTGGAATAGAGAAGGAAAAGTTGCCAGTGGGTCAGAAATGTATAGGCAATTTTTTACGCGCTCGAGAAAAGGGATTCTCTGCTATTGAGCAATTATTGAACTTACTTGCGTGAATACGACAGTGCCAGAAGGATGCCGTTGGGCTGAGCGACCCTTGAGGGGATCGGCAAGCAGGGCAGGTGCTGCTGATCTTGGCACTGCACAGATCATGATACGCAGAGACATTTTGGCTTTGTCAAAAGGAACCAAGGGAAAAAGGGCTGCTTACTCGTCAAAGCAGGTCCGTGCATTGCCAAGGTTGGCACATGCAACTCAAAAGGATCGACTTGTGGCCTAGCCAGATATTGCAGGGGGTGCACGGTTGTTATGTTGTGCTGCGGTTGGTTTGTGCACGGCACCTGACATGGGGGTGTCATTTTCACCGCAGGAAAATCGATCATTTCCTTTTATTACATCGTAAAATTCTTTTACTCGACTACATCAGATCTCCCAATGAAACATTGGGCAGTGCGATGCTGACGCAAACTGAAGGTGAGGTGC